CCACAACGACAAACCTCACCGCGGAAGCAGCCCACACACGGGAACGGCATAAAATATCTCACTCCAGAAGTGTTGAGATTTCCGCTTTCAGTGCGTGCTGCCCAATAACGTCAAGAAGATTACAGAAGAGTCTGTCTGTTTCCCTCCACACCTGCTCAAAGCAGACCTTCCCCACTCTCCCTCGCCCCAACAGCTGGGGCGCCACAAGAAGCTGTCAAAAAAGTCGCGTGTGTTGAAGGCCCCAACTTGTGGGCGGGGCGGGCGAACAGTCACCCGCCCCCTTCCCCAAACTTCCCCGCACCCTTTACCCCTCCCGCCGTGCGAGGGGTGGAAGAAGACGCGTAGGAGAAGACACGCCAGCCGCACAGTCTGCGGCTGCTCTGCCCTCACCGACTGCCATCGTGCCGCACCGCACCGCAGGCTGCGATGAAACGGCCCCCCACGCGCACTCGCAGTGAGACACACGCCCCACTCACGCCCACCCCGTCTATTCTCTCCCGCCACAGCGGGCGCAGAAAGCGGCGGTCGCACGCCCCGTCACTTCCACGCCACCGCAGCGGAGAGCAAAAAAAGAGTCTTCGTCGTGGACTGCCGGTGCCTCTAGCAGGAAGGAGGAGATGGAGGCGTGTCAGCAACACAGCCAGAGGCGGGAGCAAACTGGACGCAGCGACAGTGACAGGCACGGCGCCAACTCAAAGTGAGCCGCAGTGAGTTACTCCAACGAAAATCAAAACAACAAAAATGAAAAATGTGGAAGCTCAACAGGACGCCCAGGAAAAGAAAAACACGAAATCACTTTAGCAGGCGTTCCTTCGCCTCACGTGTCTAGCAGCAAAAGAGGACTGTGAGTGTGTGTGTTTATTTTATTGCCTGAAAAAAAAACGGAAACAACTAAAAAAAATTTTTAATGACTCTTCTGTTGCTTCAGACCCGCACACAGCTCTCACATTTCATGCATCTTTCGCTCTGCGCCTCAAACGGACAGCTACGTCAAATCCGTGAGACGCACAGAAATGCGGCCGCCATCGTGTGTTTGTGGACGGCGGCAGCAAACAAGAGGGGGAAAAGTGTGCGCCGCCCATGGGAACGTGCGTAGCAGGGAAAATAAAAAGCGACCCCAGGGTGCTGGTTACTCCAGCAAAGCACCAGCAGCAAAAAAAAGTAAATATGCATTTTTATTTAAAAGCATAAAAAATGAAAATAAAAAATGGGGCCCTAGAAGAAATGCAATGCGTAGCACTGGGCAACCACACCGCACACTCTACAAGAGGAGCTACAAATCCACTCTCTCCCTCTCTTGCTTTCAGCGGAGAGCCCCCATGCCCCACAGCCCCAGCAGGGCAAGCAGCAGCAATAGCCGAGACACGCACCCACGCAGAGCGCCGTCGCTGCCTCCCCCGCTGGGCTTCAAGCCAGTCATGTTCTTGAAGGCAGCGGAGCTGTTGCTCAAGTGCGGCGCCGCGTCGCGCGTCGAAGGGGCAGCCGGAGGTGCGGGTGGTGCGGTTTTATTAGCCGGTGCGCCCTCAACGCCCTGCGGCACTTCCTCACTATCTCCACGAGGCATTTCAGCGGCGGCAGGCGAAGAAGCGCCGGGTGCCTCCTTCGCGGCGGGCGGTTCGGCGTCGTCGGCCAAAGCAGGGCTGCCGCCTGAGCTCACCGCTGCGCCTGGAGCAGCGGTGTTCACTTCGGGGTCAACGGCTTGACTCCCACTGGCGGTGGCAGGCTCGCCGGCATGCGTCTGACTGCCGCCCGGTGCTGCAGGAGGGTCCACACTCGATGCGGATGGCGCCGGCGAAGACACCGATGCGCCCTCGCCGCTTTCCTCTTCTCCGGCCACCTCCGCCGCCGCGCTGGGCGAGGCACGGCCGTCAGGAGGCAGTTCGGCGCCACCAACACCGTGACCACCGCCCTCACGTTTGGCCTCCTCCGGTGGCTGCGGCGACTGCGCCCCGCCGCCTGCCACCACCGACGCGTCGCTGTCGCCCGGTTCTTGTCCCTTCACTTCCGCCGCGGACGGGGGCGCGGAAGGCGACGACTCCACCACCGGCTCCACAGAAGAGAGATTTGCAGCGCCCGCTTCAACTTTTGGATTCGGGGGCGCTTGCCCGGCAGAAGCCACCGAGCCCACAGGCTGAAGGGGGCTCGGCTGCTGGAATACCGCCAACGCCCATTTCCCCAGACCCCTGCTCGGGAGTATCATCGGTGTCCTCCGCATCATCGCTGGGCCCGTGGGAGGCAGCAGCCGGCCCTGCGCCTGGCCCCGCAGCAGCCGGACGTGGATGAGTGACTTTGCTGGCGGTGAGCTTGTTTAACTCCGGACCATAAAGCACCTCGTTGTACAGCAGGACGTTGGCCACCGTCACGTGGGGGCCGGCCTCTGCGCCCTCCGCCGCAGCGGCAGCCCCAAAGTAGAAGTGCGAGATCCGGTGCGAGTCGAACAGAGCGCCAGCGTATTCCCCCTCGTAAATCTCCCTCCCGTCAACGTACACATTTCAATCATCAGTATCCATTTGCAGGGCCACTTGATACGTCTTGTCATTCTCCCACGCCTCAGCATGCTCCTCGGCATCGGCATTATCAAGTTTGGCTTTCCACTTCTTGTCCTTCGTGTACGAGAGGCCGAAGAGCACAGTGTTCGCTGCGTCTTTCATCCTCACGCCCAGCAGAGGAGTGCCGTCCTCCTCCGGCACCGCGTGGATCGTCACCGTCGCCGCAAGAGCGAACTTGTTGTTCGCAGAGTAGTACGGCTGGTTCTGCCCCAGTTTCCCCACGGGCCACTCCGCCCCCGCTCCGGCGCCGCTGAACGTCACGCCGTTCGTAAACTTTGTTGCTGCCCCATGGACTGTCGCGTCCACGCCGAGGTACTCGTCCTCCCACTTGCCGCCAGTTGACTTCCCGGACAAAAACCCCACCAGCCCTTTGGTGGGAAGAGGGCCGCTGCACATGCCCCTCTTTCGCGGGTCGAGGTTTCCGCTGGCTTTGCAGCTTTGCAAGGCGGCGTCCAACGCAGTCCAACTCCTCACCACCTCCTTTATCCGATCCAGCTGCGTGGTCAGGCGCACGTAGGCAAGACCGTACGAATCTTCTCCAGTCTTCTTCTCGTAGAGTATAATCAACTCCTTGTCGCT